GTTCTTATTATATACCATCTATTTCTTCTGAACTCCTCGCAGTAATCAGTCTCTGGTGCCGTAATTGTCTAAGATGTTATATCGTTTATTCATCCTCCAAATTATTAATATCTTCCTTAGAAATCAATATGTTATTTTCCATTTGATGTCCTCTCAACCCACGTTTCCTCTCCTCCTCCACTTTCGTTCCCTTACTTCCTCCTTGGCGCTTCCTTGAGATGAGTTTCCGTTTGAGTCACATCCCCCCCCTCCTTAGGCTATTGATCTGGATGTGCATCGGGCAGTCCGCTTAGGTTTGTCGGGGACTTTCCAAGATTGAGCACAGACATAGTGCAGAACACATTGCTACTTGCTCTAGAAACTTAAAGTTGATCATATCGTAGTGAGCGAGGAAACAGGTGTTGTTCATAAATGCTTTTAGTATTCATTTTCCTTTATTTGTTTGTTTGTATATGAATATCGTAAAAAACAGCATCAGTAACATGATAAAATACCCATGCTTCTCGTTACGTATGCTATAATAAGGAAACAGTGTATAGGAATGAGGCGTGGACGCAACGCATTACACCACATTCACATGTCATGCTTACATTGCATCGCAGTGAGCCACAAGGTCGTGCTCTGAGAGCCCCACTGACAGCGACCCAAACATGTACTTAAGCAGTTACACGCGGAGCTCCAACATGCCCTTCGGACGGCTCCTCAGTGCTGGCCCTTCACACCTCTTCGCGTCCCTCAGACAAGCAAGCAGCCAGCAAGCGCCGGATGCTGGCCTTCCTGGGAGGACCGGGAAGCGAGAGGACCCTGGGCTAAGGCGGGAGGTTTCTGGAATGTTCGCCGCTAATTGAAGTGGTCGCGAGGCTTAACGAAATGCGGGCGTTCGCGGCGGCGAGGGCGGGCGCGAAGTAGACGAAATTTTGGGAAGAGGCGCGAAAGGGAGATTGGTAATTGGATGTCGGAAAGAGGGAGGGAGAGGTGGAATCAACGGAAACACACACAGTTAAGCATTTCATCTTGGGGTTAACAGACACAAAGGATCTTAGAAAAGCAGAGAAGATAACGGTGATAGTCTAAGGTAGAGGTTTTTTAACTGTTTCTAGAGAAAAAGAAACATGATAAGCTATATAGCAATGAAATTGGATATTTCATCCAGGTCTGCTAAAAAAAAAACGTTTTAAAACACCGGAAATG